GAAAACTTGATTTGTGACAGACAGTCAGTAATAGTGAATTCAGTGTTTATTGCTTCGGTAATATAGACATTGTATAAAACATACTTAAGCAAAATATAATTGAAAACAAATTGAGAAACAACTTTAATTTGTTTTTTTTTTTCTTTTTTAATTTTTTGTTTTGCATGTTTTTCATCAAAGATTCACTTACTTCAATTTCCGTTTCAAGCAAAAATTAGAAAATAAATTATGTATTTTGAGAGCGTTTTAAAACAAGTTTGTAAAATCTGTAAAACATGTTAAAAAAAATTGTGTTAGGTTAGTGTGAAAAAAATTTTTCTTTTGACATTACAAATAACATATTTAAACTATACAGGTAAATAGATGACCGTATCTCGTTTACTCTTTACTCTTCAGTTTATATATCCTAATATTTCATAAGATAATACTGACCCTTTAGGTACTGTACACCGCAAAATATTTAGTATTTGAGTTTACATAAGTAATATACTAGACAACCATTTCAAAAAATTATTATTAATATAATTGTAACAAGTTAACACGAAAAGTTAGATATTTGGTAATTTCCTTGCAATTAACAGCAAATTCGATCATATAATGCAGTAAATAAGCTAAAAATATCAAGGTATAGACCGGCAGGCCATATGCTTTATATAGTTATATTATAAATATGAGTCTAACTTATTATTTACAAAACGATGTTAGATGTAGAAAATAAACGCTGAACAGAGGGAAGCCTACATATCTAAAAATACTTGAATTTGGTGATACTATAATATAGTTCAAGTATTAACAGTTTTATTGCGTTTAACAATACTTTTACTATCCCATAAAATCTTATACTTTGTGTAGACTTTTAGAAAATGATTAATGAAGAAAAAGTACCATGAATTTAGTATTAATGCAACAATCCTCTCTTCAAATTTTTGGTGTTGATAAGTATATTAATATGTTAAACTGTCTGATAAGTTATATTAAGCTGTTAACATAATTATTTCTCTTGCAGGCGCCGCATCGCTATATAATTTTCTTATTTCATAAATATGCACTCATGATCTACTATAATTAAACAAATCAATTATACCACATTGCTTAAACACTTTTATTATAATGACAGAAATTTTGTAATTATTATCATTCATTTAGTGGTAAAAATAATTATATTAATAACAATTATTACCGTTATCCTCTTACGAAAATTTGACCAGAAAATCAAGTTAAGAATATTATTATTACATATGTATCTAAGTATTTATAACGAAAACTATTATATATCACTGCAGTTGTTTTAGAAATTATCTCTATTTTATTTTAAAAAATTAAAGAAAATGTGTAAAAATCCAGTTTTACCCTCAATAACTTCAATAACATTAACTAAATTACTTAATATACCAACATATTAAGCATATAACGTACAAAAATACTATAAACTGTATTTGAATTTGACAATATTTGAATTTTATTATGTAAATTAATGAAATAGAGTATAGATTACAAGATAAATTCACATATACTCAATTAAATTAATTTTCGTAAGTTAAACTTCAATTTAAGATAGCAATTTTACATGCTTATCCACACATCAGGCAATAGCATAAATACAAACAACTGGAGTAATATGAATTTTCCAAATTTATACTAATTTATTTTTAATGACATCAAAATATTGCAATATTTTGAGATTAGGCAACAATAAAAATTTAAACGAATAAACGATAATGTAAACGATTAAACGTATGAGAACTCATTACTAATATTAATTTGGATTTAATATAAATAATAAAAATTAGAAAATGAAAATCAAATCTTAAAAAACCAAATTATCATTATTATCAACTAATTCATTCATATTATCAGTTCATATTATATACTGACTTTATTAACTCTAATCTAGTTTAATAACTCTAAATATTTAATCGCAGGATTAATTAACAATGCTAGCATGTATAAATTTGCAAAAAGTATTTGTATTTTCCATAATTTTTATTACAATTTCACGCATTATAATTTCATTATTGACGATATCATTAAGCGGTTAATATACATTTTCCTTTCCACAAAAAAAGACAAAAACATCTCAGCTCCCATATATTAATTGTATAATAAAATAACACTTTTATTTAATATATCTTTATGAAACTGGTTAATATTAAATTACTTACTTTTAATGTCTTGTATTTATACTGTAAATATATAGGTGAAGAAAAGAGGTAGTAAAAATCATATATACTAATATTATAGTTTTACGGAAAATTCGTTTTCATTTCGTTACTTTTTTTGTGTTTTCTTCTTCTTCTTCTTGTTTAATATTATGCAATAATAACTGTTTTATTACTATACTATTATATTTTTCTTGTTTTTCATATTTCTCGTTTTCTTCTCTTATCGAGTAATTTTTCATAGCATGTTGATTTCTTGAAAAAAAAAAAAACAAAATGAAAAGTTAAAAAAATTAAAACAGAGCGCTTATTCAACTTTTTCCTTCCTTCTTCATTCCACCAACATACAAATATTATGTAGCTATACAATAGTATGTTTGTATATATACCAGTCTGTTTCACTTTTTGAATGTCTATATATAATTTTGATCTCTAGATTTCCATCTTTGCATATTATATTATTATGCAGTGTATTATATTGCATGAATTATGATATAAGAAAATTCAATATAAAAATGCGGTAACAAAGACCGAAATACACACATAAAAAAAACAAATCAACATAGAAAAAAAATAAAAGTAAAATTTTTTAGGATTACGTAATTTTAAGATTTTCTTGTACATCTAGATATTGTATCATGTATGTCGATAAAATGGATATATAAATGCAAATAAAATGTTTTGTTTTTTTGCGCGCATAAAGCATATTCGGTTTTCTTTTCTTGTAATATCAATACAGTGTATCCCACCGCATATGATAAAAAAAGTTGATAAAACTGTTTTTATTTTCTGTTTTTTTTTTAATATTCTGAGTACGCTTGTAATTTACTAAATATATAATTTACCTATTTTGATTTTTTTAGTTTGTATTTTTTGCTTTTTGCTTTAACACACAATATATATACATACTTCAATTTTAAAGCCAATTATTATTCAAAAGTTAATTTTTAAAACTCTTAAAATTCAATTCAAATTTTCTTTGTACACATATAATAAATGCAACTGTTATAAACAATGTATAATTTAATTTTTTTGCAACTTTATAATATTATTAAATTATTTCATTACTATATAATTGTTTGCACTTTTATTAAGAGACCAAATTGCTTGCTTTTATTTTTTTTTCTTGCACTTAAAATAGTTCACAATTGAATAAAGGATTAAAAGTTTCAAAAGTTTTGTGTTTTTGATTTTTTTTTTAAATAAGTTTGCATCTATTATGAAATATTTTGATATATAAAATAAGAATTAACATGTAAATTAAGTTGGTAAATGCGGTTTTTTTTATGAAATCACTAATATGAGCACGCTATAATATTGTCTTGTAATTTATTTGGAATTTCATGGTATATGAAATTCACTAAAATTATGTTGTTTTCTTGTATAAATTAAACTCATTGCAAAAACTGAAATTCCAAAATATATTTGAACCATAACAATTGTGCTGGAAGCAATTATAAAATTTTGTATATAACTTTATATGTGAATAAAGCATTACGAGTATATAAACAACATTTTAGAAGTATTTTTCATTAAACTTCCTTGAAAATTTTTTTACATTATTTTTTTGTGTATTTTTTAATAAATGAAAAACTGTTTTTTTTTTTCTCTCGTTTTGATTATAAAATTGGTATTGGCATTTAAGAAATTTTTTTGTGAATATTCCGAACAAATTATATGAATAATTTGCTACGAAATATGTTTGATATATAATAATATACGATTAAAAATTATATACAGAAATTAATTGATTTCATTGTTTAAATTTTTTGATAAAAAACATGAAATTTTTTAATTTTCAGGAATTAAGGAAATAAATATAAAATGAATTTTTCGTTGCAAATCGTTGAAATTTTCGTTGCATTTATAAACCCAACAAAGTTACGGAAGAAAACAATGCAAAAAAATTAATTTCCTACTCTTATATTGGATTTAATTTCTTTTTATAACAAATGTAGTAATTAAAAACTTTTTATTACTATGAAATTATTTAGTTTTGAAACAAAATGTTTTCTGTAGAAAATATGAATGTATGCATTTTAACATTAATAAATTTCAATTATTGTGATCTAGTTAAAAATTGAATTGACTTAAACCGGATGCATGTTAATTATTATGGTATAAGAATGACTTCAAATACAGTAAGAATGTATATAGTAAGAACAATATTTAAATTTTTAATCGATATTCTTTAATATGTTATTGGCCAATTATTATTTCAGTAAATTTTACCACATTTATCTCAATTATTGGAGAATGGTTTTCTTGCAAAATATTTTGAAACATGCGTTTTGAATAATTTAAAAAAATATCCATTGCATTATATTCAAAAATTTTATTCAAACTTAATTTACAGTGCACATACGCATATGTAAATGAGTTAAAGCGCAAATGTTAGTATACTAATTTGGTATATTGCTCTCATAACAGCTCCTTCAACTTCTGAAAAATATAAGAAAAATGCATATTTAAAAAAAAAAATAAATAAAAGAAATTGTTTTGTTTTTTGTTTTTTTTTTATAAAATAAAAAAATTGTTTCCTATATTATTTTAGATAGAATTTTTAAAAAAATATATAATAATAAAATTATAACACATTTGGCTCGTAAAAAAAATATTTTTTTTCCTTGTTTTTTTTTTTTGAAAAGAAATTAAATTCGCTTCGTTCCCATTTATTTTAATAAGATTTGGAGTGATTTTTAATCCCATCTATACATATTATGTCATATATAAATTAAAATTAATAAAATTATTTTTTGTTTTCGATAATATTTTCGTATTAGTACATTTTAGATAAATCGAACGCAATTAAATAAATTTTAACGAAATATTGATTTAATTTTAGTACGATTTTTTCATAGAAATTTTAGTTGTCGAAAATTTTGTCAGAAAAATATTTTTTTTTTTTGAAAAAAAGTACAAATAATTAAAAACAAAAAAGTACTTTTTTTTGTTGAAATAAAAAAGAAATTTTCTTAAAAATTCTTTCTTTTCATTGTTTGCTACTTTGTAAATTAAGATATTCTACTTCGAAAATTTACTTGTTAGTTTAAAATAGAAGTAAAAAAAACAAAAAAAAAAAATTAAGAAAAAAAATCACTCTTCAGCTCAATTTTAAACAATGCTGTGTACATAGGTAAAGGACAAGCTTTTATAAATTTAATTATTATACGCTCCGAATAATAATTTTAATTTATACTTGTTCTATATATAATAGTGTTTTAGTACAATTTTCTTGTGTACAATTTTCCTTCATTTAATAATTTATTATATTTTTTTTTCCCCCCATAAAATACTGTTTGATGTTTCTTGTTGTTTTTTGTAAAATTTTTGTTGTTTTTAATGTTGTTTTTAATTTAAATATGAATTTTTAATGTATTGATGTTATTTTAATTTCGTTTTTATTTATGTTGTTCCTAAAAATGTCCATGTCCATGTCCATAATCATGATGTTCGATATGTTCAATATGATGATGATGTTCTTCTTTATGTGGTATATGTGGTACTTCAACATGATATTTTTCTGGGACTGGAATTTCTTTATGTACTGGCACCTTTACTTCTGAATAGACTGGATATGGCTTATCAATTGGTACTTTAACTTCATATGGTACTGGTTTTTCTACAGTATATGGAATTTTCTTTTCAACAATATATGGTTGTGGTACTGGTACTTTAACATGAACTGGGTATGGTTTTTCAACATATACTTTGTATGGTTTATCAACAGGTACTTTTACTTCATATGGTACTTTCTTTTCAACAACAACTGGATATGGTTTTTCTACTTCAACTGGATATGGTTTATCTACGTAAACTTTGTATGGTTTATCAACTGGTACTTTAACCTATTGAAAATAAAAACGAAAATATTAAAATAAATTATGTTATACAAAATTGTTAAGCATATGGTTACATAAATTTATTTAAAACAATAGCTTACTTCAACTGGTACTTTTTTGATAACTTCATATGGTTTTGGTACTGGTACTTCAACTTTTACTTCATATGGTACTTTCTTAATAACTTCATAGGGTTGTGGTACTGGTACTTTAACTTCATATGGGATTTTCTTAATAACTTCATAGGGTTGGGGAACATGTACTTTAACTTCATATGGTTTATCAACTGGTACTTTTACTTCATATGGAACTTTTTTAATAACTTCATATGGTTTTGGTACATGTACTGGTACTTTAACATATTCTTTAACATGTACTGGTACTTTTTTAATAACTTCATAGGGTTGTGGTACTGGTACTTTAACTTCATATGGTACTTTCTTTTCAACTGTATATGGTACATGTTTTTCTACTGTATATGGTACAGGAATTTTCTTTTCAATTGTTATAGTTTTAATATGTTCATGATGTTCATGATGATCATGATGATCCCAATCACCTAATGAATGATGTAATCCACGTTTTTCTTTATTAGTTGATTCAGCAGCTTTATTTTCTTGAGGGGCAGCAGCTTTTTCCTCTACTTTTTTTTCTTCTTCAGCTAAACATAATGATGATGATAATAATAAAGCGCACAAGGCGGCATAAGGAAGAATGTACTATAAAGAATGAAAAACAAGAAAAATATTTGAGTATTTTCCTTTTAATTCATTTAGTAATTTTTAAATTAAATATTTTAGAAAATTATAAATTTTGGAATATTCTTCAATTTAATTTGCAATGCTCTATTAGTGGTATAGACCATGATATTGAATAGGAAATTCCTAAAGGAAAATTCACGGTATATCAATTGAATAAATATTTACGTAGATATATATACACGTAAATATATAACAATAAGTTAAATGAAATAGAAATGCTTGAAATTTTATAATTAATTAAAAATAAAAATTAAGAATGTTATCCCTCTATAATCTTCAATCTCTTATTATCCTATTTGAAATTGTAAAGGCTACCGCAATGAGTTTCTTATATTTTATTTTATATTTGTGTGTATTTCCTCTAACCAATTAATCTAATTTAAATTGTTGAAAATAAAATATTCATGAAATAAATTCGATCGTCTATAATTGAAAAGAGTGCAAATAAATAATGAAAAGAAAAATATTGCTAATTAATGCTATTAATTAGTTCCATATCAGATCACACAATGTACAGTAACAAAAGTAAATTTTTTTCACTTTCATTTTAATTATGCAAGTTTTTCTTCCATTATATTAATACGTTCAGGTTCACTCGTATTTATGGTAGCAATTAATTATTATATTTTTCCTCATTTTAATTTTACACTTTCATATATTGTTATACATTTTTTTATTTTGTTTTTTTTTTCTTTTACATCGATTAGTCGTGTATAACTTTTTCATTGTAATTTAGTGAAAATTTTATAAAAAAATCCAATTAATTTTTGCTTTTTTACGGTTTTCTATTCAAATTTCACTTTTTTGTAGAATATTTATGGCGGCAAAAAATATGCACTAAATAATTAATTTATATGAAACTTTAGCTTTTACTCCATAAAATTACTATATAAATTAGTCTTATCGTTTTTAATTTAGTACAATTTCTGCAAATTATTCCAATAATGAATATTCCAAAATTCTTTCTGCATTCAAAGTGATTTTGAATAAAAATTATTTAATTAAATTTTAAAACTCAATTGCACTTTCATTTCGAAACTAAATTTTTACTCCGAATTTTAAAAAATTAATTACTCCGAATTTTCGGAGTTAATTTCGGAGTTTTAGTAACTTTCAGTAAATTTAATTCATTGTTTAAAATTTTTACTTTCACTTTTTTTCAGAATATTTAAAATGTTCTCTTATTTTTTTTTATTTTTAATTCTGTAATATTTTTATTTAAATTATTTTCTTTGTTTTTTTTTACCATTCGCATTGTTGAGCTGTTGTTTATTAGATTTTTTTTTCTAAATTATCACAAGATTTTAATTAAAATTAAAAATAAAAGTTGAACTAAATACGAGGAGACCAATGTTGGTACTGATTTGGTTCCCGTCCATATTCTGCTATATATACCAAATGGTAATTTTTTTCATCTCTTTCTTATTTTCAATTCTTTTTGGTGTTAAAAAATTTTAATTTTTTTTTTATTTCATTTTTCTTTTACTTTTTTAATAAACTTATTGTAGTTTTTTTTTTTTATTTTTCTTTTACACATGTATGAACAGATGTATGTGAATATGTACATTATTTGCTTTTAATCAAAATGCATCGGTATATAGACATACATAAATTTGTATTCAAAAAAATTGTAAATGGTCAATGGTAATATACGATAAAGTTTTTATGTGTGCACGTTGTGTATTATTTTATTCAAGAATTGGATGGTGATGGTAAGGTAGGTGAAATGTTAAATTGTAAAGCAGTAATTGTAAAAAAAAAAATAAAAATAATAAAAAAAATAATATTTTTCTGCTGTTTTTTTTTGCAAACTTTTAAGCTCAATTGAAAATTGAAAGAATAAAGAAAATGTGTGGACACGAGAGGTGAAGTGTTGTATATAATTTTAGACTTAAAATATGGATAAGAATTTGAAATAAAAAAATGTAGTAAAATTCATTAAACACAAGGTGCAAATAATGTATACGAGTATTATAAATAGTACTAATAATAATGTTGTAAATACAAAGTCATTTAAGTTTATTGTTAGAATTAGAATAAATTTATTCTGAAAATACAATTAAAATTAAATTATTAAATTAATTAATGTCTAATTAACTTTAACTTGGACAGTGAATCATTGAAGAACAAAATTATTTATACATAATAAGTTTGTACTTAGGTATACTGCATTTAATTTTTAATTATACAATTAACCTTAATATATATAAAATATGTAATCAGTAATTACATATTTCCTGTGAATAATTTTGTTAAAGTTTTGATATTTTCAACAAGGTATAGTAAACATATTTATTTATTAAATTTTAAGATATTTTTTTTCAATTTTATTTGTATTTTATTGAATAGGTAGCAATGTCATTTAATCTTAAAAATAAATTAAAATTTTCAAGAAAATTCTACGATAACAACAAAGAATTTTAATTATTAAAAACAAATACATAATAGAAAATTAAAGATAAAAAAAAAAATTTAGTTATATAGTGAAATAAGAATAAACTAAAAATTATTATATCTGTATCGATAGTTTTTTGAAATTTTTAAATTCTTTAAAAGAAGGAAGATATTGACTATTTACAAAACAGAACGAAAACAGGACTTTCGAGTTAAATACATCGTAGAAATCAGAATTTTGTTATTCTCCCTAAATATAACATCACAAAAAAATTAATTTAGCACAAAGTTTGAAAATATTTGAAAATGTGCCTCTGGGATTTTATAGAAGGAATAATTGTTTCCAAAATATAGTATAACAGTTAAACCAAATGCATTGCTGCTGGGCATATTACTGAAATTATTTACTATTATTAAAATAGAGAATTTAACAATTCAATTTCAAAATGATATTTTAACAAAGAAATCGTATTTAGTAAAAATCTCATCATTCTACTATCTCATTTTTAAATAATACTATAATTCGCAAGCCTTCTAACAAAACTATAGATATAATAAAAATTGCTAATATTTGATGCATTTCTAGGTCTTAATAGCAACTGGCTATAGTTTAAGCTTAAAAGGAAATAATTTTTTTTCGCTTTTAAGAAAATATTCGATTTTTAAGTAATTTTTTTCTTTATTTGAAAATACTGCAAAACTTGAAGAAATTTCAAAAATTTCACAGCCTTATTAAACTAATTTATGATTGAAATTAAAAACGAGAAATTCACAAAAATCATAAAATTTTTGCTCATAACGCTCCTCTGTAAATCCTGTAATAAAACTCAGTTACACAAATTATTTTAAATTGAATTAATTATTAAATTTAATTAAATAATTTGAAATTTTCCTAACAAATTAAATTTTTCGGTAATTAACTATTTTAATATTCCTCAAAAATTTTTATTTTGACTACGAATTTTAAATCTAAATCAAATACATACATGGTACATGTATTATTTGCAATTATTTCCTTTCCAACAAAAATTTATACAAAAAAAAAATAAAATTTGCATAAATAATGATTTTTAAATTATTTTTCATAGATTTTCAACTATATTGTTAAATATTAATTAAGTAGACTTTTATAACTGCGAACATGCAATCACTTTTTAAATTCTTTTGTGTGTATGAGAAAATAAAAAATCAAGGAACCTATACTCCATAAATGTGTTATGTATAAATTTTTTTCTTTTCAAATTTAATTGAATATTCAAAAAACTTAACGAGTGAAATTTCAGTAATTGGTACGAGAAAAGCAATAAGCAATGCATTTTCATATAGCAAAACATGCTACAAATTTTCCCCCTGTTTTTATCATTTATTTTTTCTCTCTCTCTTTCTTCAAATTCAATTTTATAATAGCTGCAAGAAAAGCAACCTGTTAACGTTTGACATATAAAAAAAGTTAACGTTTGCGTATACCCTAATAACTAACATATGAGAAAAACGCAATTGAATAAAACAATGAAAGGACATTTAACTTTTCAATGAGAAAAGTTGCATACATATCGTAAATTTATATGCAATAAAATCTATTTCTAATTTAAATTATAAGCATGGATTAAAATCTCAATTTTAATAACATTATTTATCATTACTGTTATTATTCATAAAAATTAAAAAATACATTTGTACATTTTATTTACATACATACTGCATATATGCTTTAATTTCAAATAAAAATTTCCCCAACAATGCTCAATAAAAAAATTATTCCAAAATTTAGCTAGTAAAAAAAATTATAGTAGTACTATTAAAATTGCAAAAACAAAAAATAAAATTAAATCAGCTAAGAAATCTGTAGCTTAAATTTTAAAACCATGTAAAAACCGCATTTTTATTAAAGCGAATATTAAGAAAAAAAAAATGCAGAAAAACAATCAAAAAAGCGAACAATGGAAAAAAAAAATCATCGAAGTGGCACTTATGAGGAAGTTTAGTACTACTTAAAGAATAGTTTTTAAACGTGTGGTAGCTATTTAAGACTATAAATAGAGATAAAAAGCATTTTTTTTAGTGAATACAAAATGTACCATGAACGAATTTTTAAGTTGATTTTCATTCAACATTTTTTTTTATTTTTCGTTTTTGTTTACTCTCTATATTTTAATTTTATACGAAAAATTCACATATATTATTGTACTTAAATTAAAATAATTTGGAACGCATGGTTAACTTAATCTTAATAAAGAAAAAAAACAAGTAACTATAAAAATAAAATTTTATAGTCGGTCTAAACTATATTTATTATTAAAAAAAAATTTTTACTAAAATAAAAAAATGTTCGAGTTTCAATAAATTTGCATACGATTAGGCGTTGGAAATATTTTGCAATAGAATAAAACCTCGCCAGCCATTCTTAAAGAAATTCGTAAATTTTTTTAAGTGTACTATTTTAAGATTTTTAATGTTAACGATTATATTTAAAGAAAAGGATGGTTTATTTAATTTAATTTCAAGAGAATATTTTCTTTCCAGGTATTTTGAAAGTCATGTTTTCTTTGAAAAATGTTAAAAATTTTAAACTGATTGAAATATTCTTGTCTAAATTCATTTGCACAAATGAATTTATAATTCGTAAGTGCATATATTTTTCAAATTAAATTTTTCAATAACCATTTTCCAAAATTACAAGTACAATAGATTTTGAAATCCTACTGATCAAATGGAAAAAATACAAAATGTTCAACGGCTAGGAGCGATTAATTCAATAAAAGTATACTGAATGTTGCATATCTCGCCATATTTAATTTTCAATATAATTTTTTAATATTCTCCTTCAAATTTTTCGACAAAATAAAATATTGCAATTAAAGTGAATGTCTGTACTTAATCACAAAATAAAAGCCAAATATTTTTTTTTTAATTTATAATATTAAAAAATTTTCATCATTACTATCAATGTTTTTTCGATGACATCTGCACAAATTACATTCACAACATGCTCAAAAAATATCCACACAAATACTTAACACCATATTTGCTGTGTAGTACCGCACATAATAACTAAAATATAAAATAATTTTTTTAACTGTCGTTTTACATGAATGGACAAAAATTTCATATTTTTACTCTGATTAATATTACAACTTTGCTTAATTTCTTTGTCTTGATCTCATATCCAAAAAAAAGAGATATTAAAAGAATAAGCAAAACTTTTAAAGACTTTTCATTAGATAATTTTGAAGGTCATTTAAGTGCACAATATGCTTAAAAAAATTCAAAAAGAAAAAAACCTGAAATTAAAAAATTAAACAAAAACAAAATTTAAAAGAAAAGGGTTTTCATATTCGCATTCTATAATAAAATTGTTTGAGTTGTGCAATCTTCAATATTCAATAATCTTCATTGTATAAGAAAAAAAAACATAATTTTTTATTTAAAGTTTTCTGCAATTATTTTAAGGTTTTTCTATATTTGAAAATAAAAAATATTTTAAGAGGAGAAAAAAATTAAGTGTAGTTTTTGGATAATAAAATTCAAGCTTCAATATCGGTAATTTATTTTAAGTTTTCTCTCTGTATACCTTTACTCCGTCCGTTTTCTATAATATGATTATGTATGTATTTTAAATTTATTTTGGAAATTGCGTTCCTCTTAATATACAAAGACCTCGAATAACGCCTTGTCATAACTGTCATTAAAAAAATAGAATATATAAGTACATATAAAATAAAATTACCTACATCCGAAGTATAACAATTATTGTACTTGAAATTTTACAAACGTTTGTACAAAATAATGACCAAATTTTTTTTTATTTTTTCTACTTAAAATTGTTTATTTAATTAATCGAAATTAACTTTTTAAACACGTTCCATTTGTTTGTAATTTAGTATTCGCATGATTATGAATTTTTCCTCATAACATTAAATATTTTGTATTACAGTTTTTTAGTCTTTGAACTTTAGTAAAAT